ATACTAAAAAAATATGTCTATCAGAATTAAAGAAAATTACTACAAAATGATATGGAGGTGGTATCTAACCCCTATTAGATTAAATCAGATTGACAAAAAATATTCAAATCAGTGTTGGAGAGGTTGTCAGGAAATAGGGACGTATCTTGTGGTGGTCATGTGATATTATACAAAAATTTTGGGAAAGCATATTCAAAGAAATAAGAGCAATAATAAAAATAGAGACTGAGATTACACCAAAATTAGCTTTATTACTTATACATGATAATATAATTCCCGTACAAGAAGAAAAGGAATTGGTTTCTAATTTGATAACAGCAGCTAAATTGTTAATAGCAAAAAATTGGAAGGAAAAAAAAGAAATTCAATTAGAAGAATGGTATAGGGAAATTTGGAATATAGCGATTAATGATAAGCTAACTTGCAATATTAAAATTAAAAGGGGAATATGTAAACAAACAGACTTTTGGAAAATATGGGGAAATTTATCGAGTATGTGTTTAATGAGGGAAAGGGGTATAAGCCAGCAAGAGAAACAATGATATTTTGGAATGGTGAAACAACATGAGTTGGTTGGTCCTGGTGGAGGGGGCACAAACTAAGGGTAAGGGGAAGAGGGAAAAAAGTATCAAAGAGAAACAACAGGAATGGACCATGGTCAATATCCAAAGAGTGCTCATCATTATGTTTCCAAAACAGAATAAGATTGAATGATGGGACATGTCTAGAATTTGCATGTTGCATATATGTTACTATCATATTGTATTTGGAGAGTGAATGAGTGACTTGATTATAAGGATTGGTAAGATTCTAATTATTATTATTTTGTTTTGTAAATTGAGAGAAGTCTGAATTGATTTATAGTTAGAATTTGTAGTAGTTATAGAGTATAGGAATAATTTAGTGGTAAAGATATGTTTACTTAATGTGTTTATGTTAAATTGAATAAATGCAATAATATAAAAAAAGAGAAGTATTGAGAAATTAGTGCACGTACCACTCCATATCTATGGGGGCTGTGTCCATAGATTCAACCAATCATGACTGGGCTTTTAAAAAATCCACAAAACACATCAGGACTGTGCTGATATAAAGGCATACCCTGCTGTAGCCTCCCAATATTTCAGAAATCCTCAAGCTATCTCCAGTTCTCATCTGAGTTGTTCACCATTTTATATTGTGCCAGGAGTGACTTGAGAAACTGCAAGTCGCTTCTGATGTAAGAGAACTAGCCGTCTGAAAGGACGTTGTTCACGGGATGCTCGGATGTTTTGATGTTTTTACCATCTTTGTGGGAGGCTTCTCTCATGTCCCTGCATGGGGAGCTGGAGCTGATAGAGGGAGCTTATCCCAGATTCGAACCTGCGACCTGTCGGTCTTCAGTCCTGCCGGCACAGGGGTTTAACTGACTGCACCACCGGGGGCTAAATATTTTATATATGGAACATCATTTTACTATACCAAACCCCAAGCAGATACAGAAAACCCAGTGTAGTGAGTAAGGTGAAACTGGCTACTGTCAAAAAATGGAGGTCTTGTATATTGCCCCAAATTACAGTAATCTTGACCATTAATACCTCAGATTGTGTTGTTTTCACACCCATCAGCAGCTTGTGACATAAAGAAGATGGAGAAATGTTGCATCACATCACAAGGCGAATAGTCCAACACGTCACTATCATTTTCTGTGGCACAGTCTGCACTTTATCATTATGTGACATTATTTCACATTTTACTGGGCCCTCAATCAGTCTCCCCAAAGTATAGCTGTCTCATTAGAAAATAAGCCTTTCAAAATCTAAATGCCAAGATTCATATTAGACCAACGTCAGTGTCACACAGTGTGTGCTGCTGAAGTGTATGGGACTAACATTGAAAATGAAGATTGCCAGAGCCTAAGAGAAGGGAGCCAGGGAGGAAGTTAGTATGAATTAATGGGATCCAGCTGCGTTACTGGGGCCTGAATCCCAACCACCTCAATTAACTATGTTGCACCCAAACCTTGACACAACTAAACCAAGCCACTCTCTTCCCATTTCCTTCATGCCTACTACCTTGTTCTCTCCCTTTCTCTTGCTCACTTGTCCTCCTTTTTGACAGGTATGTTGCAGGTATTATTTTATTTATTTATTTATTTCTCTTTTTAAAAACCAGTTTGGGAACAAAATTAGCTTGCAGCATTTAAAACAAACAGGTTTAAAAATTGCAGTATACAGAAATTAGAGAGTAATTAAACTACCAAAGGATCAAAACAACTTAAAGCACAGACCAATAAAAATGACACAGCAACAAAAATAAAAATTGAGCTTGTTGTTTAAGGACTGATTTCTCCTAAAACCTTAGTTCGCAAACTTGATTGTGGGGTTCTAGAAGGGGAGCCAGGGATTGTATTGACCAAAGAATGGTACACATCTCTTCCACCAAATGTTCTTCCACTTGCATGTTGTCCTATTCCACCCAATGTGCATCTTCAGGAGAGACTCACATGGAGCATCGAAGGAGGAAGGGAAGCCCTATCTAGCCTGCCCCTATCTGTCACACAAATGTCTTTCTCGCTGGGGCTGCAAATATATATGATACTGAGAAATTGGATCCCCAAATCATGAACTGTATAAAAGTATATGCAATGCTAGCTGTCCCCTGCCAAGCATTGCTGTGGCCCAGTCTGGTGAGCTGGAAAATAAAGTAATGAGAAAGTGTGGTTTCTAATATATGTGTCATTTCTTGATGCTTGTGGGTAAACAGCGCTTCTTCTTGTCTCTTTGTCAGTGTTGATGTGGAGATTGCCTGGTTTGCCTAATCTGGAACATACAACATATCGTTCTTCTTTAGGAGTCCCTTTCAAATCTAGGATACTATATCTGTCATATACATATGTATGTGTGTGTGTGTGTGAATCATATCTATCTATATCTGTGTCTAGATGGCTCTTTGTCAGGAGGGCTTTGATTATGTTTTCTTGCCCTGGTGAAGGGAGGTGGACTGGATGGCCTTTGAGCAGCATTTCTCAACCTGGGGGTCGGGAAACCTGGGGGGAGGTCACGAGGTGGTGTCAGAAGAGTTGCCAAAGACCACAAGAATATACAGTATTTTCTGTTGGTTGTGGGGGTTCTGTGTGGGAAGTTTGGCCCAATTCTATCGTTGGTGGGGTTCTGAATGCTCTTTGATTGTTGGTGAACTATATACCCCACTAACTACAACTCCCAAATGTCAAGGTCTATTTTCCCCAAACACCACCAGTGCTCACCTTTGGGCATATGGAGTAATCGTGCCACGTTTGGTTTCAATCCTTCATTGTTTGAGTCCACAGTGCTCTCTGGATGCAGATGAACTACAACTCCCAAACTCAAGGTCTATGCCCACCAAACATTTCAAGAATTTTCTGTTGGTTGTTGGAGTCCTATGTGCCAAGTTTGCTTCAATTCCATCGTTGGTGGGGTTCAGAATCCTCTTTGATTGTAGGTGAACTGTAAATCCCAGCAACTACAAATCCCAAATGACAAAATCAGTTTTCTTTGAGTGATGGTCACTCCTTGGATTAGTAGGTGTCTTGTGGCCAAATTTGGTGGCAATTCGTGCAGTGGTTTTTGAGTTATGTTAACCCCACAAACGAACATTACATTTTTATTTATATAGATGGGATGCGGCTCCACCAGGAACATAGTGAGCATGCTGTTCAAACATACCTGAACCCCTTCCTTTAATTTCCACAATCCCCTCACAATGAACTGAGAGGCATGGGAGAAAGCACTCAATGAATTTGTATCCAAGTTCCTGGGTTGTGGATTATCTAATTTGATATTCTGTGTTTTAAGGCTGTGTGGACGGGCCCTAAGAATGTCTTGGTCTTTGAACATTACTATGTGGTCAACTTCCACTTATTTATTTATTATGGCAGAAGTAAATTGAGAATACAGTTATAATGTATTAAAAAACCACAAAAACATTAAAAACTTGGCTTTATACTAAATGTCCTTTGACCAAAAGCTGGGCACTTGGAGTGCCTCACTGTAAGAAGGTTCTCCATTGTACATGTGGCAGGGCTCAGGTTGCATTGTAGGAAGTGGTCTGTGGTTTGCTCATCTCCACACTTGCATGTCGTGGACTCCACTTTGTAGCCCCATTTCTACAGGTTGGCTCTGCATCTCGTGGTGCCAGAGTGATCAGTTCAGCACTTTCCAAGTCGTCCAGGGGGGAGTCTCTCATCCAGTATCAGGACCTCCACTGGAAGATGGCCATAAAATTACATTACAGCACCTAGAGATTTCTAGGCAGGAGTTCTCTCTAGAAATCTCTTGATCTTCCAGAATGGCTGGAATAAGCTGCCCATAGAATAACACTAGGAGACCTAGAGATTGCCAGAAAGAATATTTTAAATCAAATATGTGAATAATCAAATCCGCAAAATGTGGAAGAATGACTGTAATGATTCTTGGTTATACTTAATTTTCTTTCCAAGGGAAAAGATGGAATAATCATTTTTGCAGTTTAAAACTTTAAAATGCAGCAATTGTTGGCATATTTTAATGCTTATGTTTAGTGGATGAAAGACAGAAGTAGAGAGTAACTAGAAAGTTCACTATTATGAGCAAAGTATAATTAAATATGGAATCAATATAAAAAATATCAACAAAGTTGGAAAGAATTAACATGTACTTTATGTGTGTCACCTTGAAATTACTTTGATGATTTGTTAATGAATTTTGGGATGCAAATTTTTGGGATGCAAAATAGGATGTTAATAAATCCCCTGAGCTGAAAGGAAGAAACAAATAAATAAAAGATTATCTCCCTCTCTGTTTCCCTCTCTCTCATATACAGACAGAAGCACTGTGGGATATAATCATAAAGTTGTAGTCTGTTGTGCGTTTTGTGTGTTGACATCAAGCTCCGACATCACATGTGGCCAAGGATGCTGTAGCAACGGCAAATGTGTTGTCAAGGAAACAGCCTTGTGCTCGGCAGTCAAGACCAATGAGGATTAAGGATTGGTATATTCTATCTAAGCCTCAGTGACCTTATCAGAGAGCAACACAATCTATCTGGTCTACACTCCATAGGTGTCCTCCTGCAGGAAAGAAGCTGTGAGCAGACAAGGCAGACACCCTTGCATTTTGTGGCCACCCAGCTAAAATCCTGGGTTTGGATTATTGTGACTCTTTTCCCAGATAAAATGGACTAAGCAGGACACTTTTTGGTAAGTAAAATAGTGTTGTGTTGATCAGTTTTTATTAAATATAACTAGAATGTATTTTGCATGCTTTCATTAAATGGAGTTTCCAATAGGGATTGAACAGGTGGTTTAGAAAATAATGATAATGCTGTTTTTTAAAAATTGCAAATCTGTATGTATCAATGTTTTTACGAACTTTGCAAACAAAAGTAGAATTAGCTGTGGTGAGGTTTAGGTTTTGCAAGGCTGTTGAGTCCTGTAATATAGTGAAATGGCTGAATCTGAATATAGGAATTGAAAACATAGCATAAGAGCATGGCAATGCTATTGAGTAACCTCGTCCTGATTTTTTCTCCAAGGAGGTTGATAATTCGTAAACATGAACTTAAGTTTAACATGTACACCTGTGCTGTAGTGAACTCGTAGCCAACTGTAGCATGAGAAAAAGCATGAAAGCAGAACTATTACATTGTAATAACTCAACAAGAGCAACAATATCTTGTGCTAAAGTCATGGGAAGAATATTCAAGAAGGACTTTTGCAATTTGGATATCATACTGACCATAAGCACTGACTTCCTTCTCTATTGTTATTATTCCCAGCTTTCCTCTCTTGACTGCGACCCAAAGCAGTGCTGCCATTTGTTTCCTTTCTTGATTCCAAAGAGGAAACAAACTTGCTCACTTGGAACGGAATGTGTCAGAAATGTGTAACTTACTTATTTTTGGAGTTTAGAATTATTGGTAAGGAATAAGTAACATGTTAGAACTGATACAGTTCTGCAAATGTGCCTAAACATCCTGGCATGGAAGCATAATTTTGCTCACTCACATGTTTATGTCTGGGGCTGAAAACAGGAGAATGGAAACATTTGATGAATTGGACGTAAAAGAGGAGAGACAAAGTCTCAAGATAAGTGAAACAAGCTTTGATTTCTCAGAATAACCCCAATGCCTATCAGTTAAAAATCGGCCTACAGGTTGATTTTGAGATAGTTGATGCCTGAAGAAGGCCACACAAATATTGTTTTGACTGAAATATGTAAGGCTATTTTGAGAAAAAAAACTCCAGAGACTCTGGGCTCTTCTAGATTAGTTTAAATCAGCACGAGTCTTCACAATATTGATTTTTTTTACTGGCCTTTGCCAGTTATTGCTGCATCAGTGTCCACTTGTGACATATAGGGCTGCTATTTCAGGTCCAAAATCTGAGACCTGGAGGTGACCTTTTTGTGAAATGACCAGGCAGGAGCCCCTGGGGATGTTGCAATGTTGCTGTTATGAGGGCCATATCCCTTTAATTGCATTAACCATAACATAATCATCAAGGCTAACTGTGAAAGGTATACAAGGAAATATTTTTAAATAACACGATAAATAAAGACACAGACACACTTTTCAAGAAAGTGTTCTCATCCTGAGATTCCTCTGAGAACCAGAGAAGAGGAAGCAGCAGCCCCTGAGATCTGGGAACACCAATTTTCTAATTTTTGGAGAGGCTGTGTATTGTGGGATTTTTTTTCTGGGTTAAAAACAACCAAGCCTTGGTTTACTGTGGTCAACATATGGTCTAGAGCAGGCATGGGCAAACTTTTTTTGCCTTGGGGCCTGTGAGAGGGTGGGGCTGGGACCTGGGGCTTGCCCCATCCTTATACTAGGAGGAAAACGAGACATGCGGCGACTGCTCTGATCCTCCTCCCTGATCTTCTTCCTCTGATCTTTGGGCTGTCCTCTCAACATTATGCCAGCAGGAGGACGAGACAGGCACCTCAGGGCTCCGGAGGGCTTTCAGCCACTGGATGCCTTCCTTGGGCCGTCCTCTCGGCACCAGGATGGGGCTCCTCACTCCATCTTTATGCCGTGAGGAGGGTGAGACATGTGGTGACTGAAAGCACTCCAGAGGACTGTCAGCTGCTGTGTGCCTTCCTCTCCCATCCTTTCTACATAAGGATGTGGCAGGCCACCGTGTCCTTATACAGAGGGACAGAAAAATAAGGAGGGGCATGAGGTAAGTGCCTAGGGGACTGCATCTGGCCCCCGGGCCTTAGTTTTCCCATGCCTGGTCTAGAGGGTAATTTTAGTTTCCTTCTTCTTCTTAAAGTGTTTATGACAAAAGTGCCATTTTGATGGTGCATTATTTATTTATTTACTTCACTTGTATACCACTTTTCTCACCCGGAGTGGAATGGGGGATGGGACTCAAAGTGGTTTCCAACATATGTATGCCTCCCATACATATGAAACCTAACATAAAACAACAATAACATATGACTATTGATTATATAATAAAAACATAATATTTAAACATTAAAAAGTGTAGTTAAAAACATATTGCGTAATATAAATGTTAAAATCGCATAATCCAAAAATCATGGTCCAAGGCTGTTCCAAATATCAAATCTCAATTGCACATAATTATTTAGTTAAAGCATTTATATTCTGCCCTTCTCACCCTGAAGGGGACTCGGGGTGGAGCACAACATATATATGGCAAATATTCAATGCCCGAACATAAAATAAACTATAATATATATGGGGCTGCTATTTCTTGATAAACCTAATCCTTGATCATTCCTTTTATTGCTTACTGCCCAAAGGCTTGGTCCCATAGCCAAGTTTTTACTTTTTTTTCTGAAGGTTAGGAGGGAGGGTGCTGATCTAATTTCATTGGAGAGGGAATTCCATAGTTGAGGAGCCATCACTGAGAATGCCCTGTCTCTTGTCCCCACTAGTTGCACCTGTGAAGCGGGTGGGACTGAGAGTAGGGCCTCCCTGAACAATCTTAATCTCCAAGATGGTTCATAGAGGGAGATACATTCAGACAGGTAAACTAACAGTACTTCTCAAAGTGGTGTATCTTGGACTACTGTGGTCTGTGAAACATAGACTACCTATCCATGGAAAGTTTCCAATCCAAAGGGCAGCATATTAGGGAGGGGAAATTTGTTGTTCTCTTACATGAGATAGTCTGAGAAGTATGGAGGGAAACTTTACCGACATGGAACAACTACTAAAAAAGTTTTCTTTAATACCCACTCCAAACATATCTGTGGCAGGACTAAAAGAAAGACCTTCCCTGAAGATCTTAAACTTGGTCTGGCTTGTATAGGAAATATTAATAAACATATACTCTATTCATTGTATTTGAATTTTTGGCCAAATACACAGTAACTATACTCTGATCTGTATCAATATGAACTGCATCACACGTGACAGGCAAACCAGCATTTCAACTGGACTTCCACCTTGGTGATGGTCCCTATCACATGATGCTGTGTGCATCCCATTGCTGCTCTGCCTCCTGTCCATCATTCTCCCACCCCTAGCTATTAACAACTAAAACTCATCAAGAACTTCCAATCTTGAAATGTTCCTGTCACTTACCTTAGTGTGAAGGGACCCTTCCACTTCCTTGCTTCTAGTGCAGGAAGGTGGCGTTATGTGGGAGTACAGTCGTAGGACCACAAATTGGTGAATTTGTCTGTCTGTGCTAATGAAGAGAGGCATGGTATTGGCTTTGCTCTATGTATGTATCCACTATCAACAATACCACAACTGTACTGGAATAGCAGGTTTGTGCAATAAAATCCTTTGACTGTTTATTGCAATCCATTTCTAGTACAGGCAATCCCCAAGTTATGAACAAAGCAGTTAAATACATATATTTTTTAGCTTTGGGTAGCATAGAAAAGGATTAACATCCTGGAAATGTTTGTTTTGCTGTCTGTGCCTCTGTTCAGAAGATTTCACCCCACTTTCTGTCCCTGTGATAATTGGATTTTGAAAAAATTTGGCTTGCAAGGGGTAGATTTCACTCACTTCCTGATGTCTCAACCCCGTTCTTAAGTCAGATCTTTATAACTCAGGTACTATCTGTATGTATAATTTGCCCCATCATGCTTCTGCCCCAGAACAAATACTCTAGTATCTGGGTTGCTCTGAGATTTTCTGTTGATCATGGGGGGTTCTGTGTGGGAAGATTGGCCCAATTCTGTCATTGGTGGAGTTCAGAATGCTCTTTGATTGTAGGTGAACGATAAATCCCAGCAACTACAACTCCCAAATGTTAAAGTCTATTTGCTCCAAACTCCACCAGTGTTCACATTTGGGCATACTGAGTATTCATGCCAAGTTTGGTCCAGATCCATCATTGTTTTGAACAATTATCTCTGGATGTAGGTGAACTCCAACTCCAACACTCAAGGTCAATGCCCACCAAACCCTTCCAGTATTTTCTGTTGGTCATGAGCGTTCTGTGTGCCAAGTTTGGTTCAATTCCATCGTTGATGGAGTTCAGAATCTCTTTGATTGTAGGTTAACTATAAATCCCAGCAACTACAATTCCCAAATGAAAAAATCAATCCTCCCCCCCTGCCCCTAAGCACACTAGTATTCAAATTTGGACGTATTGAGCATTTGTGCCAAATTTGGACCAGTGAATGAAAATACATCCTGCCTATCAGATATTTACATTACAATTCATAACAGAAGCAAATTTACAGTTGTGAAGTAGCAACAAAAATAATTTTATGGGTGGGGGTCACCACAACATGAGGAACTATATTTAGGGATCGCAACATTAGGAAGGTTGAGAATTACTGTAGTAATTGATTTTTCCAGCTAAATTGTTTGGAAAAATATAAATGAGATGAGAATCAAATTTCCTATTTGCAAGCACAAATCTCCTATTTGCAAGCACAGAACATGCTGCTGATGTTCCTTTCCTTCAACCTGTTTCTTATAGCAGTTGTATATGATTTGTCATCAACTTCCTCTGGGGCTGAGAGTGCATAAATACAAAAGTCAATTTTAGTACCATATTTTTAATGATAAATTGCTTGTATGGAGTAGATTAAGAAAAAAGCAGGGAACTGTAATGGGAAGTACTTATGTTATTTAGCATATTAAAATGCAAGTTGTGGGGAGATTTATAGACACATGCACGATATGGATACTGATAGACTCCAAAGTTAACAGAGGAGATACCATATGGATTTATCAAGGGGAGGGCTACTTCATATATGG